ACGTCCTCGCAACGTCCCCACAACGTCCTCATAACGCAGGAATAACGTCCTCGCAACGTCCCCACAACGTCCTCATAACGCAGGAATAACGTCCTCGCAACGTCCGAACAACGTCCTCATAATGTCAACACAGCGTGCTCCTCCTTCAGCCCACAGATTGAACAAAGTCTCACTGCTGAGCTCCAAACTGAACGTTTCCTCCAAACAGCTTCACGTCTGGTCACGTCCAGACAGACGTAGAGTCACAGAGTGATCCAGTCATAGACTGATAGAGACGGAGACTGGTAGAGTCCTATGGTCCCTATAGTCACAGACTGATAGACTAATACAGTCCTATAGTCACAGACTAACACAGTCCTGTAGTCTTAGAGTCAGAGAGTCCAGCTGCCGTGTGAGCGGGAACTGAGAGAGAAACGAGCTCTGAGTGAACACAGAGCAGAAGATGAGTGAAGCAGAAACCTGAGAGCGTTGGAGTCAGAGCGGCAGCAGCGTGGCGCCGGCTGGAGGAATGCTGCGACCCGCTGAGCCCTCTCTGACCCAAACCAACACAAACCTTGGGCCTCCTGCGGCGCTGCTGCAGCCGGAGCTTCCTGCCGGCCTTCGGACGGACGCTGGGCTCTCTGCTCTGGGCCGAGCCCATGACTCCAGCGGCTCAGCTCCGTGGCATGAAGCGCTCTGAGCTCACACAGCTGCACACACTGCGGAGGCCACGCCCCCTGCCGGAGGCCCCGCCCACCTCTACCTGTCCGCCTCCTCCTGCAGGAATGTCAGGTGTTGCTGCTCCACGTCTTATCTCTTATCAGAGGCTGAACTGGTGCGTCTGCATTTAAGGCAAAACCTCCAAACTGAACTGATTTATTGCTGCTGTTGGAACGTTTACACAATCAGAGGACGGCTTTGAGACGGGAGAATAACCACAACCTGTAGAACAACAGGTGGAGGTGTGAGCTGGGAGCACGTCTACAGTAGGTCACACTGTAAACACTGTAAACAAACAAACGTCAGTAAAATCATCATTTAGTCGGTTTAATACAGTAAAACTATTATTTTAGTCACACGCTGTAAAAGTTCAGATTATTGATGTGACGTTTATCATTTTGGTCTGTTTTGGTTTTTATTATTATTATTTTATACTCAACATATAAATTAAAACCTTCTTTTAAAGTAAAACGATAACAAAATATTACAAATCTTTAATATCTTGTAAAACGTTTTTAAATCCTTTATATTCTGGATTTTACTTTTAAATAACAACAACTATCTGTAGAGTAAAGATGTTTCTGCTGATTTAAATTCAAAGTGTGTAACGTTTATGTCACTTTTCTACGCTGTGAAAATCAGCTGAATATTATCATTCTACAGATATCCTGTTTGCTTCACTCTATTTTAATGTGACAGGTTTTTTCCTCCCTCTTGCTGTTGGATTGTCTCTGTTTGTTTGTTTGTTTGTTTGTTTGTTTGTTTACAGACTTTGTCCCGGTTCATATTCGGGTGTTTCTTTGGGTTTGTGGTTTTTTAAGGTTTAAAAAAAACTTTTACTGCAGTTTATAGACGAAGAAAACTTCAGGAAAAGTGAAACCAGCTCAGGTTTAGAAGAAAACACCTCCTCCAACCAGAACCTCCTCCAACCAGAACCTCCTCTAAGTAGAACCTCCTCTAACCAGAACCTCCTCTAACCAGAACCTCCTCCAACCAGAACCTCCTCTAACCAGAACCTCCTCCAACCAGAACCTCCTCTAACGGCTGCATGAAGTTTATTTTCAGCAGCACAGATAAAACCAAGTTTCTGCTTCACATCGTCTCAGACACACAAATCAAACAGCTGCAGGGCTTCAACTGATCCTCCTCCCTCCATCCATCCCTCCTCCTCCCTCCCTCCTCCTCCTCCTCCTCCTCCTCCTCCTCCATCTGATCAATACGTCCTCTGAAGCTCCTCTCAGCTGATTCTCTCTCAACCAGCTGCAGCTTCTCTCTGACTCCTCGTGTTGCGTAATGCTAGCGATAGCGGCCCGTTGAGCCGATAAGGAGCCGCTCTCCCTCCGACAGACAGCAGCTGTCCAGATGTTGCTTCACTTTACGACCTCAAACGGTTTCAACGTTTTACTTCAGAACAACGTGCAGAGTTTGGTGTGACAGCCGGAGACGGGAACGTTCAGGTCGGCTGAACAATCTCACCGTCACTGTCATAGAGAACAACAAAATAAAGTTCTACAAGTTCCGCGTTTCGACAGCTGTAAACTGGACCAACAAGAGTTCAAACTTTACAAACAGCAGCAACATCACCAGCTGGTATATTATGTTCTGCTCCTCGTCTGTTCTTATTATTTCAGCAGGAAATGCAAAAAAGAAGCAAAATCACCACAAAGAGACAGAAAATTGCCATAAAAATGTGACAAATCAACACTAAAAGACGCAAAATGCCACAAAAAGACGCAGAAAGAGAAAAAGCAAGAAAATCACTACAGAAAGACTCCAAAACACCAAAAAGGTACAAAAGCAAGACAAAAAGCTGCAAAATCACCACAAAAAGACATGAAATCAGAACTAACAGGTGTGAAATCGACACAAAAGAAGCAAAATCAACATATAAAGACAAAAAAAGAAAAAAAAGGTGTTAAGTTGCCACTAAACCACCACAACATGCTGCTAACACCAGATTAATCAGGCTGATTCAGAGTTCACTCGATCCTCTCTGGCCTCCATCTCAACCAGACGGAGTCAAACAACCAGTCTGCAAATATTTACTGAACACGACGTCCGTAAATCAGTGAGTGACGCATCCTGGTGCCGCTGGGAGCCAATCAGCAGCCTCCAGACGGCCACCGGCCCGCCTCCTGCGCTCCGACCCGACCTCGGCGGAGTTTAACCCCAAAGTGTGCCAGAAACCTTCTGCTGCGAGGCCCGGGAGCTAACCACACCTCAACAGGGGGTTGTCCTTCTCTGAAACATCCCAATAACCGCTGGACAGAGTGTGTTCGCTCTACCGGGACGCCCATTTAAACCGCAACGCAAAAACATTAAAAAATAAACCAAAATGTGTCCACCTGGATGCTATTTTTCATTCATTCATTTATTTATTTTTAAATAGTTATAAATTAAATCCAATAGTTAAATATTAATATTTCACTTAAAAAAAGAACAAAAATCATGCCACAAATGTGTAAAACCAGCACAAAAAGATGCAAAAGCGACACAAAAACACGTGAGATCACCACAGTCAGTGTCAGAAAGTGTGTTTGCTCGACTTTTTCTTTTTTAAACTGCAACACAAAAAACCCCAAACAAATACAAACAGATGCAGAAATCCCCCCAGCTGATGGTATTCTGAATAAAGTCACAACTTTCTGTGTTTCCAGTTTCTTTGTCGGCTAAAAACGAGCCCACAGTGAAGAAAAACGGGAAACAAGCCTCACAATAACAGAAAACGAGTCCACAGTGAGGAGACACCAGGTCTGAGTGGAAACAAACACCCAGGCTGACTAGAAACGAGTCCACAGTGAGGAGACATGCGACAGGAACACACCCAGAAACTGCAGCTCATCATCACGTTTCTGTGACAATCAGTCAAACAAACACTGTGTCTGTTTATAGCCGCGAACACACACCTCTAATTAAGCTAATTAACGATCGCTATGTGTTTGTGTGCTGGAGCTTCATGTAGAACACATCCAGGCTCTTCACAGGGACTCAGCAGCAGCAGCTAACAGCTGCATCAGGCTACTGGAGGCTCAGCGCCGCCACACAGCTGCTGCAGCCTCCGTCAGCCGAGGCCTCGCCGCCGTCGTAAACGGCAGCTGGATCGCCTCCACTACCGCCAGCAGCTACCAAACAGCAGCACGACACACGAGCTGCTGACAAACGGTTTAATTACAGGCTGAGGAAGCTGATAACCGACGGCTTCAAGCCCTGAAGACACGTCAGAACGTCCTACAAGTGCAGACACGTCCAGCTGATCAGAGGAACACGACAAACAAACTGTTGACTACAAACAGCGCTGCTGTGTGATGACGCAGAAACAGGAGACGGAACATGATCGGCTCAGCAGCAACACTGATCAATAACTGATTAACTGATCGTACGGATGCTGCTGGTTTACCTAGCGAAGCTACAAACAGACACATGGTTGAATAGAAACATGCTAACTGGACGTCATGAACCTCCTCAGAGTCTCTGTCATGGTCCCGTTGCTGCTAAACTCCCACAATGCTCTCTGCTGCCACCATGAGCTGTAGTCTGAGTGACGCCTCCTCTGGTCTCTAAACAGGAAGAGGCTCCACCTGGTGGAACAACCAGGTACTGCAGCTGGTCTATGGTACATTTACATTTACTGACATCATGTAGAGGATACAGGTTTACGGACCCTCAGAACATCCTAAACCCTAACTCCACATCTAACCTCTGACTCCACATCTACCCTCTGACTCTACATCTAGACAGGGTTCTACAGGGTTCTACAGGGTTAGGGTAGGGAGGTCTTTCTTGATGCATCGCTGAACCAATCATCTGGATCATGCAGCTCGTCTAGCTTCTGTCGGTGGATTATTCATTTAATCACGTTAATGTTCCACCAAAACAATTCCACCGTCATCATTTTGAGCTTCGCCCACAGCGACAGAAGAAATACAAACAAACCAGAGTTCAGCAGACCAGCGTGGTCTGCAGAATGGACCGGCAACGTGGAACTACCGTCACTGCATCTTCTCCTGCAACATCTCTAGATCTAAACCTTCACATGTGACCCGTGAAGCACAAACCTGCTGCTTCGCTTCACGAGGAAATCGCTGCCTGGATGCATTTGCATAGCGGTTAAAAAACAAATCAGAAGCCGACTCCTGCAGGGCCGTTAAACTGACATTTCCTGTTCGAGCTTCTAAAGGAAGCCCTCAAGGGCAAAAACACAACGATGGACAGAAGAACGATGAACATCCAGTCTGTCCTGGTAGCGGAGCCATGAAATACAAAACCAAGCAGATCAGAACAAAGATCCTCCCAGAACATCTGGTTCTGTATCTGCAGTCCTTTATCTCCTGACCAGAGCTCTACCTTCAGACTGTGAATGTTCCAGAGGTCCAGGTCCTTGAAGTCCACAGAGGAGGGTCCAGATTGATCACCTTAATGGACTTTTTCCATCATTTCTGAGCCTCAGAACTTCATCAGTACAGCAGATAGACACATGACATTTAGGATGAAGAACACATCTGGGTTCTGGTAGAACCTGACACCAGATCAGTTCTACATCCATCCAGGTGTCTCAGTCCGAACACTGGACCTGGTTCTGTTCATGTCCTCTATCTGCTGTACTGATGAAGTTCTGAGGCTCAGAAATGATGGAAAAAGTCCATTAAAGTGATCAATCTGGACCCTCCTCTGTGGACTTCTGGAATATTCAGTCTGAAGGTAGAACTCTGGTCAGTAGATACTGCAGATACAGAACCAGATGTTCTGAGGAGGTTCTGGTGGGTCCTGACTGATGTTCCGAGTGGAAACAGCAGGTGGCGTCACAGTAAAGCAGAAGGTACCTCAGTGAAGAGGTGCTGGATGACCGTCGCCAGAGCCTCGACCCGCCGGTTTCCTTGGAGCAGCAGCTTCCTCAGCTGGCTGATGGCCTGGTTCTTCTTCTCTGCCTGCTCCTTGTTCTGGTTCTGTTTGGCCGCGGCCGACCCGTCCACCGGGGCAGCGCCTCCTGCAGCTCTGGTTGCATTCTGCAGGCGGGAGGCTGCCTTGGGGCTGGATCGGAGCCCAGTTCTGGCTCTGAAGCCGGAGGGTCCGGTGGAGCCTGATGTGGCGTTATCGGTGGCAGGAACCGGGAGAACCGGTGCCGCTGGTGTGTTAGCATTCACCACATCTGGAACCTGGAACCAACAGAACAATTAAAAAAAATCAGTGACAGATATTTTCTGTGTCTTCATCCTTTAAAGCCCCAAAACCTGTGAGCAGAGATAGAACGCTGGTTCTGTTTAAAAACCGTTTACTGGCACCAAGAACTGGAAGAAGAGTCGCGCTTTTAGCTTTTAGACAATCCCTGAATCCATCATGTGTGGCGCTGTCAGTAAAAATGACCAAAACTAAACTTAAAATTGTGAAAGTTCATCAAAAAAAGTGTTTCATCAGAGAGACTGAGAGGAAAA